ACCATCACACATAAAACATTACGTGTCTTGAATCGTAGCTAGTTAGAGGATTGAGAACGAAGATTCTTACATAGTCGTGTGAGTCACCATATATCTGTCTCTTATACACATCTAGATGTGTATAAGAGACAGGTGTGTGTGTGTGTGTGTGTGTGTGTGTGTGTGTGTGTGGGTGTGTGTGTGTGTGGGTGTGTGTGTGTGCAGCCTGCAGTGCGGGCCAGTCTTATATAGTGCTGGCCAGTCCAGGAGGCTGATCTTGCCGATGCCAAAACGTGCCAGACCCTAGCGTTGAAGCTCAAACAGAGGTTGTCTTGAAAACAGGCCCAAAATGGCCTGTGCTAAAACCCTGGTCTGGTCCTTGAGTTTCAGGGCAGGTCGATCTTACGAGGGCCTGAAAATGGCCCTCCGTTTCAGGCTGAAAAGACTCAGGGCCTGGAGGGCCCTGTTTTACACTGAAACGACACAGGGCCTGTAGGCCCTTGTTTTCAGGCTTTCAGGCTGAACGATGTTGATCTACAGAGCACACGTGCTTAATGGGTGTGCACTGAGATATCGTCCACGGCTGGGGTGATCCAGAACTGAGGCTTGTCATCATCCGACACATGGCTGCATGCAAGCGTAACGGAGGAGGAGAATGAGAGGAAGAAAAATCGCTGCAAAAAAAATGTTATCGGGATGTCAATGCAACTCTGCCAAAGGACCACATGGCACCACCGATGGTCACCTAACACTTCAGCAATCCATCTACATTGGCTACAATGGCACAGGAATACCGTGGCCCGAAAGATCAGACTGCATTTCACAATCTTCCATGTCTTCTCCCCCTTCTCTCTCAGTTGGTGTGACTGACCCGAGCGAAACACTGACATTCAGCAAGACCCACTTTCTCTCCCTTCTTATCTGCCCAGATGTGTCATCCGCCGCTTGACAGTCCCTTTCTCAATAGCCATGGTTGAGCTGCACCCACCATCGTCCGATGACAGAGCCCACATTGTAATTCACACTGCTGCTCTACAGCATGATCTGCACGCGCCTGTGGGAATGACAATGTCAGCAATCGAGGAGCGCACATCTTAATAATCCCTCCAATTATGCTCCGTCCAATTCTGATCATCTAGCCTCTTGTTACAAGTTATTTTCCAAGACGAAGGAGATGCTTATCTGCGATTCTCGTTATGTCTGCTCCGTATCTATTGAATCAATTTGCGCATACAGTTTTTCAGTCCCTTTGCTTTGTCCAACCATGCATTCAAAGAGGGCATGCAACCCTCACGTCGATCGTACATTGGACGGACGGCCACAGTCTTGGGTCAAGATACTGCATTGGAACATTGCCTCAAAGGATGGATACGGTGGACCACGTGCAGTATTCCCACAAGGTCCAAGCAGGCACAACAGAAATGCCGTTCTTAACTTCTTATGCAGAATGCCTCTTGCTGGCATCATTCAAGGATGGGTTCCCCTGTTGTTTCCTTCCGTTTTCATCATAAGGTGGTGCTGCTAAGGGTCCCCCTCAGTGTCTCCCAACCTCACTCACCTGTTTGTCTGCTGACCTTTGTTTTGACCAGCCTTCTTCATTTTGAAGACCTTTGAACTACCACCAGCTCCAGCTCATGTAGGTGGGAGAACTGGTCGCAGATTGACACTACGTAGTATTTTCAAACAGTAGGTCTTGCACGACGTACCATTGAAATACGCAATCGTCAAATGTCCTCCAAGCAGCTCAAGGCCTTGTTATTTTACTCCCACTCTTATTCGTCGTCGGGAGCAAGGGGTCGTCTGAATAATTTGAAAGGGCGATTCTCTCTCTCTCTCTCTCTCTCTCTCTCTCTCTCTCTCTCTCTCTCTCTCTCTCTCTCTCTCTCTCTCTCTCTCTCTCTCTCTCTCTCTC